CATTCTATAATTCTATATTTAAATCCTTTCACTTAACCCAGTAGTATATATGTATTTTACTAATATCCTGTATCCTTCTTCCTTATTTACTTATTTACCTTACCTTTTTTGTTTAAATATGATATTAATTCCTTTCTTTCTTCATCATACCTTGTACAATTATATATTACATGCTCCACTGTTTCTTTCTCCCCACAATTCCCACACAGCCCAGTCTCATGTATTCCAGTTATGAACAGTGAAGCGTTCAATCCCGAGTGTCCAAGTCTCATCCTGGTTATAATAACCTCTTCTTTTCTATTTCTACCACTTACACTTCTTTTAGTATTAACCATTTTTTTAATATTATATAAATGCCTTCCCTTATTACCTGTATTCCATATACCCTGCCATTCTTTCATAATATTTTCCTTAATGATAGTTTTAATTTCACATTTACTTAAAGGAACATTAAAATCTATTACTTCTCTTCCTAAAGCATTTTTTGCTAATTCATCAGCAGATTCATTACCAGTTATTCCCACATGTGCTGGCACCCAGCAGAATCCAACTACCACTCCTTTTCTTTGTATACGCCATAATAATGTAAATATTTCACACATCAAATCTTCTCTAGAAGATTGCCAAGTAATCAATGAAGTTAAAACAGAAGCAGAGTCAGAGCATACCACTATCTGGTCTTACTTCCTCTACCCATGTTAGTCCTATTATGATAGCAACCATTTCAACAGTATATATTGACAATTTAGATGTTAATCTTTTAGTTATGGATATTTTAAAATCTGGAATATATATTCCTACTCCTGTAAGCCCTGTTTTGGGGTCTTTAGATCCATCAGTATAAATGTGCATACTTGCATAAAATCTTTCCTGTATATACGTATTTACATTATATTTAATACTACCCATTTCCTCCCATTCTCTTTTCTTATCCAATATCTCTAGATCAATTTTAACATCAGGAATTATCCATGTTGGTACCTCTCCCCATACAGGTACAATCTATATTTGTTATCTGATATTTCTCTGCTGACTGATTTATATTCCATCCATATCCTCTCCCTTTGTTATTTGAGTATTCCCAGCAATTATTTAAAATATCTTTAGCTATATGTTTTCCAGAATAACTCTTTAAAGACAACCAATATACCAAAGACAATTTAACTCTCCTCAAGCTCAATGGCATTTCATTTGCCTCTACTAATAACGCATTGATTGGTGTTGTTTTAGTTGCTCTAAGCATATTCTAAGAGCTCTATTCTGTATCCTATCTAGACTCCTTAATATTGTTTCTGATGCTGAACCATAAATCATGCATCTGTAATCTATTATAGATCTTATCAAAGCTTGATATATTGTTAACACTGATTCTTTTTCAGCACCCCATTCTTTTCCAGCTATTGCCCTCATCACATTTAAAATCCTCCTGCATTTTTTATCTATTTCCTCAACATGCTTTTTCCAGGTATATCTCGCATCTAACCAAATTCCTAGATACTTAAAAACCTTTACTTGTTCTAAAGGTTTTCCATACAATAGTAGTTCAATATCTTTAGAAACTTGTTTTTTCCTACTGAACAACATATAACATGATTTATTTGTTGACATTTTAAAACTCCATTCTATACTCTATTTTTCCACGTTTTTAATAGCTGTTTGCATACTTGAAATCACTTGGGGTACATTTCGACCTCTCTTCTAAATAGCACCATCATCAGCATATAACACACATCCCACACCATATCCTAAATTGTCAAAAATATCATTAATCATAATGTTAAAAAGAATTGGACTTATTACACTCCCTTGTGGAATACCATTTTCTGCCTTAAAAACTGATGACTGACACGCTCCTACTTGTACTATAAATGTTCGTTCAAATAAAAACTGAGATAACCAATTACACATTTTACCATCCTTGATGCTTTAATTAATACTGAATCTTCTACTACTATATCCTTATATGTTTCACAATACTTGCTAAATGAATTCCAATCTGCTTTCTCATACATCCATTTTCTTTGCAGAAAACACCCTGTACTACTACTATTTACATTTATTTTACATACAATTGGAAAATGATCACTTGCAACTGTATTCTCACTGCTTACTTTGTATTCACATATTTCAGCCATTCCATTTGATATTAATGTTAAATCTATACTTGATACCGTATTCTCTGTTATATAAAACTTAGTACCTTCTCCTGTGTTTAAGCATACTAATCCTCTATCATCCATAAATTGTTCTATTACTTCCCCATTGAGATCTATATTTTTACTCCCCCATAACCAATTATGAGCATTAAAATCACCACACCATAATTCCTTGTCTTTTTTCAATATTTTCAAACACATTTATTGAAATCTTCTTACATGGGTTATAAAAATTATATATCACAGTTGTTTCTTCTCTAAAATATACTTCAACCACAACACATTCAATATCCTTAACCTCGTTTAATTCCCTATATATAGTTCCTTCTTTTATACATGTTACAACCCCTTAAGTATGTCTCATATTTTGTATTGAATATAATATAAAATATTGTGTTGATATTTTAAAATCTTTTTATTAGCAAAACAGTAAACATACAGCATTTACTTTGCAAAAACAAATACAGATATATAAATAATAGTATGCGCGGTCAAGGGAAGAAAAAAATGTAAGGGGGTGACTGAACATGAGCAAAAGAACCACATTAATCATAATTTTAATAAAGCTAAAAAAAAAAAATCCACATTTGTATTCACGTAAATATTTCAATATATAACATACTTTTTTTATAAGTACCTTTTATGTCTGCATTTTCAAATTATTTAAGGTTACTACTGAGAAGCATACAAATTTCATATAATAACACAATACAATAAAAGAGCTCATGTACAGCTTTACTATGTAATATTTTTTATATTTTTTATGGAAAGTCCAGATGTGAAATTCTCAGATGACAGTAATATACCAGACAAAAAGTAAAAACATTTGAAATGTTGAAACTTAAAAACAGTTACATTTTCTTTTCTTCTTCAACTTTTGTTGTAACTTCAATCCCCTTTACTACATTACTACTTTTAATAAGTGAAAAGAAAGAACTGAAGATTAATTTAAAATATATCTCCCTGACATTAGGAATTAAAAGTTTTCTTTACTTATTTTCATTCAGCAGGGTGCCAGCTCATATTGCCTTAGTAAGATCAAGAAGATACAATGCTTTGATTAAATATAAATGCTAAACAAATCCTTGTACTTGGGAGTACAAGGCACTTGCATAAGTAGTCACTTCTTGGGGGGGAAAAAACAAGGGATCACAGTTGTTGCACTTTGAGATGTGTAAAGCCACTCAGCAGATACTAGAATCAGTCCCCTTCAAATCTCAGGCTTTTGATTGCTTTGCCTAAGATCTACTTCATCCTCTTTTTATCATTTTTTCTTGGAAGCTCTCCATCTGATTGGCATCCTTTTCAGCTTCTGTGTTTTCATTCAGTTTATCAAGGCCCTGAAACAATTTTTTATATTTCAAATTGTCTTTGCTCAGAATGTACTTATTTAGCCTGTCAAACATTTTGTGCATTTACATTCTAAATACGCTGTTCTGCATTTTCAGCTAAAGTACAAAGTTAAAATAGTTTTCTACATGTTTCTCACTACTTTTATTTGACTGATAGGAAAGGACTTCTTAAGCATTTGGCTGACCTGTGCTCCATTACGCTCACTGTAGGGATCTTCTTCACTCTCTTCCTCTTCTGCTCTCTTCTGTCTGTCATGCACTGAGTCATCAAGAGTCTAATGGATGTTGCAGTGGGGATGATGAGAACAAGTCATTTTTCATGTAGCATTTTGTATCATTTCCTCAGCACACCAGTCTATCATTCCCTCACCTCATCCTCTACATCATCTTCATATTGCTCATCTGGCTGGTCCTCTTGCTGCTCTGGATTGCCTGCCACCTATTGATATAGTGCATCAGTAATCTACTTATCGTTCCATACCAGTGGGTTTAGTTCTTCTGTTGGCAACTTTGTCAATAGGTTTTTCCATTTATTTAATATATTCTATAGTATTTTGTCTAAATTAAAAATAAAACACTAAAAATTAAAATAAAACATTGTAATGTGCAATATGAAAATGAAAAAGTTATTACACGATTTGTGTTTTTTAAGATTTACTTTAAGATGACAAAGGTAATTTAAATCTGTAAACATTTGTAAAAATATTAAATAAATTCTTTAAAAATCCTACAATGTGATTTTCTGGATTTTTTTTTCTCATTTTGTCTCTCATAGTTGAGGTATACCTATGATGAAAATTACAGGCCTCTCTCATCTTTTTAAGTGGGAGAACTTGCACAATTGGTGGCTGACTAAATACTTTTTTGCCCCACTGTATACACTATCAAAAAACTATTCAAAAATGTGGAGTTGTTTTTGAAGAAATCTCTTATGCTCACTATGGCTGTATTTATTTGATCTTTTACAAATTTGATTTTTTATTTTAATATATTTTATAATGTAATTTATAATGTAATATATTTTAAAATGTAATTTATTCATGTGATGGCAAAGTTGAATTTTCAGCATCATTACTCCAGTACTCAGTGTCACATGATCCTTTAGAAATCATTCTAATATGCTGATTTAGTTTTAAAGAAACATTTATTATTATCAATGTTGAAAACACTGATAATACTTTTATCGAAACCGTGATATTTTCAAGATTATTTGATGAATAGAACATTCAAAACAACAGCATTTATTTGAAATGTTTTTTTTTAAATAACAATGTAAAAGGCTTTACGGTCACTTTTCATCAGTTTAATGTGTCCTTGCTGAATAAAATTAATTTCTTAAAAAAAAAAAATCTTACTGACCCCAAACGTTTGAATGGCAGTGTATGTTCAATATTGCCAAATAATGATACATTTAAAAAAAAAATTGTGCTAGTAAATGTCAGAGGTCAGTATCACCACAGACTTTATTCCATGAATAATATATGAGGAGCTTGTCTGTATCCTTCTTGTTAACTCACCACAAGCTGCTCATCCTCTTCAGGCCTGATCTTATTCGCATTGGTCTTGTACTCTGTTTCTTCTTCTGCCTCTTCAAATTCATCTTCGTTCTGCTTGTTGCCCTCATTCACAGCGTTCAGTTTTTTTTCTCCTATGCCCTGCTCAAAGGAGTCATTTAAGGAGAGAGAATAAGTCATTAATAGAAATCTTAAACTTCAAATGATATAATTTCCGGTGATAAACTTTAAAGAAATTGTAATTTGCACTTCAAAGTCAAATAATTGAGTTTTTCGAGAAATAATACAGAGAAAGCACAGCCACAGTGTTTATGCCACACTGCATTGATGTTATTGCATAATTAATTTATGACTCTGCATGCAATTTGTCATTCACACAGTGTGTAAGTGGTCCGAATCAGTTTTTTCCTCTCTACATGTGACACAGATTTCCGAACAGCATGAACAAACATTGATCTTTTCAAATCTGTTTTAGGCCTATTTCATGTCCGATCATGCAGTTCTTACTGCAAATACTCTCAGTGCAGAGAAAAATTAGCAAATGCAGATAAAAAAAAAAAAAAGACTCATTTTATATATATATATGATAACATACACACTGCATTATCAGACACACCTTGTCATTCTTTTGAGTCTCCTTTACACCATCTCGTCCAGCCATAATATAGTGTGATTGCTCTGCATTTCCTGTTAATTAAATGTTTAATTAAATGTGTGAAATTTAACAGCAATTTCTGAGTAAAAATATTTCTTTACCAATTTCTTTTTTCAGCGTAGTAACATAAATGTGCCATTTAAATGTATCCTTGAAGGTATTTTTTCTTTTTTTCTTTAAAAAATCATATTGGTAGCACTTTGGACTTTTGTGCTAGAACCCTTAGCTTCATAAAATACAGCAGAATCAGAAAAAGCCAATATCTGCCACAAAAATATCCTTCCTTACCAGCGATAACTGTATCCAAAGCCTCAAAGTGTACTTTGGTTCTGTGAAGTGGCTCTGTCTGTGTCTGTTTCTCTAGGCTTTGGCTTAGCGTGTTGCGAGGGTTAATGCCCAGCTCTACTGGGTTTGATAAGGAATGTTCCAGCACTGCCTTTTTCCTCTTATCCTCTCCTCCTCTATCCTTTGATGTGCTTCTCTCCTCTTTCTTGCCGTTACCTTCAGCAAAAATATCAATTTGCTGAGGCTGCTTCATTGCCACTTTGGTCGCATTGTTATTTTCAATTTCCAACACACCTTGAGGGGATAACCCTTTTCCATTTTCCTCATATCCTTCCACCTGTAAAGAAGAAACATCCGCATGACCAAAGTGTGGTGTGGCCTGATGATAAGACACTTGCATTAGCCACAGTCACACATTTACATTATTAGGTTACATGAGTCATCTCATGCTGGAGTTGACAAACTAGCCCAAATGGCCTTTGAATATATACTTCAACTGCAATAGAAAGTGAGAATAATTTCAAAAAAGGATTAAGACTTAATCCATTTGTGATGTGAGAGTGTGAACAGCACACATTCACGTCTACAGTAGGCTAATCCATAGACTTCCTTACTAATAAAGGCAAAGTAAAAAAACAAATAGTAAACGAGTTAGTCTTTTAACGTTGCATGTTACATTTCCTTCTGTACCTGAATTGGCTTATTATGCAGCTCCTCATTTAGGTGCTCTACTGTCTCCAGCATATAGCTGCGGGTGCGTTCAGTAGCAAATTTATCAATATTAGCAGCTCGGCCTGCACTGGATGCTTTATTGCGATTCTCCTTTAATCGCCTCAGCTCTTCCACCTGAAGCTTTATCCAAACATTGAATTAGGATGGAATTCAAAATTTCTTAAGTGATACTTTGTGATGCATGGATTGGGTTAATGAAAGTCAAATAGTATGAGAGCCGACTCTATGAAAGAAAGATGCTAACTCAGCACAGAGACTGTAAAATGTAAATTAAATAAACAGCCAAGGAGAAAATGTACTGAATTTATATATTATAACCTTCATAAATAATTGTTATAAAATATATTCCCCATTCTTACTTGAGAACAAAGGTTTATATAGTGTGACCCTACTGAAGAAATGATTCCTGCAATGTAAGGTCAGGAAGAATAAGTAGTTTACATGTTAGAATGTTGTCACAGTGGCACATTATATCCGGTCAGATATAATGTCAGTATTAAAATGTTAATGGCAGGCAAACATGCATCACTCGCTCAGGGTCAAATGCCAGAATGACACATCTGTTGTATTTACAGCTTGACCCTGTGGTCTGAGGCACAGAAAAAGATCGATCATAATATGAGATTTTAGACATGCTTAAGTTATAAATATTGCTAGGCATGACTTTCCAGCAAACTTAACTCTATTTCAAATCTCTTCGCAAATTTCAGCTGTCTTTGTAGGGTGAGATGGCATGAAATGAGGTGAGAACATGATTAGTAGGTTAAAAAGTTTCGAGTCAGTAACATTTTTTGAGAGAACGAACAAATACTTCTATTCAGCAAAGATACATTAAATTGATCTAAAGTGACTGACATTGTTAGCAAAAAAACTTTATATTCATCAAAGAATCCTGAAAATAAATTACACCATTATAATAAATTAAATAGTGATAATATTTAACAATATTATTCTTTTAATGTATTTATCTAACAAATGCAGCCTTTGTAAGCATAAGAGACTTCTTTCAAAAACATTAAAAATCTTACCAACCCCAAACATTTGAATGGTAGTGTATGTTTGTTGTATTTAATGGTTAGTTTAGCTTGACTATACCATCAGAAATTTAAAATTAAATAGTTTTCTTACATTTATAGCAAACACTGTATCTTAAATGTTAATAATAAGTATTGGGATACCCAGCAATCAGTTGTGATATACTTCAAGCATGATACACACACAAATACATCCAGATTCTGGCTAACTTAAAGCAGTAGTCATGACTGTGTATTACCTGGGCTGCAACAAGTGCATTTTTATGGTCTTGTAATGTGAGTGAGAGATGATCGTTTGAAGCTTGCAGGGTTTTGTGCTGTTCCTGAAATGGTGAGGACGAAAAGAATAACTGTAATTTCAGTATGTCTAGAATAGTAAAAGTCCAGGATTTAGGACTACAAACTGAACAGCAATATTATCTGTCCTAAAATAAAATACTACATGCAAATTCTTTAAAACGTCCTTTACACCCTAATCATATAATGCATCACCGAATCCTTTGTAGTTTCTCTGACCTGTACATCAAGTAACTGTGTGTAGATGTCCTGATGAGCTTTCCGCAGCTGTCTGTTCTCCTCTCGAAGGTTGTACACATTCTCTACAAGGAGGAAATCTGGTGATGAAAGACTCTAGCAAATGTACATGGTCAGGCGCATTTTATATGGCTGGAAATGAATTTGGTCTGAGCCTTAAATCTGATTACTCTGAATGCATACAAGAGTTTCACACAGATTTACCTTTCAGTCTGGATATTTCAACCTCCTTCTCCCTCTGCAGGTTGTCTATTTCCAGCCTGTGCTCATCCAGAACATGTTCGTGATCCTGCCCTTGATTCTGGTTCTTCTCTTGAAGTTCATAATATTGCATCTTTAAGTCTTCACGCTGGGACTGATTTAGTCGTATACAAAAGATGTCAGAATTATTATGTTTAACATCATCCACAATTAAAATAACTAGTTCTTGGGACTTTTTAAGAACTTCCATTGTGCCATCTCACCTTCAGTATTTGATGCTCTGTCTGCAGAGCATTTAGTCGATAGGTTGATTCTTGCTGTTAGGTCAAAACAAAAGTTATTATGCATCCACAGCAGCTGACAGCAGCTCTATCCTGTTTACACATCATTAGTAATTAAAACACCATAGGTTTTAAATGACCTTTTCTTTGTTGAGGGCCTTCTGTGATTCCCGCTTAAACACAAGCAAATCTATGATATATTGACAATCAATAGAGGCTTTTAAAAACAAAGGTGAAGCAGACTGCATTCAGCACAACCTGGACTCATTATCATTCATTATCTATCATCATTATCAAATCGCATCCAGATTAAGTGGGTTGTGTGTATCAGGAAATCAATTATTGTGCAAATTAACAGGACATTACCCTCTTCAGCCTTCTTATGCTCAAGTCTTTCTTTCTGGAGGGATTTCTCTAGCTTAGAATGATGATCATATACCACTGAAAAGAAAAATATATATTTATTTTTTAATGTATCCTGAGGCTTTGGCAATATTGCATATAAGCACTCATATGCAAATGTAATGTATATTAAATTTACATAAATGAAATATTGTCATATGAAGTAAAAACATATCATGTCTTACATTAACAAATATATCTACACCATACAAATATACATTTTGGACATATATGTCATGTACATATAAATCCATTCTAAAACCAGTCAGTACATGTTGATATTAAATATAAAAGATGAACATGTTAAAAAAAATATTACAAAAACATTTATAAAAAGATTTTTGTATATATGTTTTTTTTTTCTTTTTTTGCATAATGGTATTATTTTCAGCATAAGCAAATATTATCCCCAAATCATTACTGTAATGCAAATTTCTTCTCATTAGATAATATAAATTAGATAATATATAAATTATTAGATAATATATATATATATACAATTTTATTTTAGTTATACATGATGGTCATTAACTTCCAGCAGTTACTTCATAACGCATTTCAGAGATTAATGTACATCAGAAATCCATCCGAAAGATGACATATTCTTATAAAAGAGTGTTTTCTCGCCTAGTTGCACAAATAGTTATTATATGTTTTTTTGAAAGTCATTAGGCTACCATTTCTACCACAACAATTCCACCTCAATTCAGATTACGTATTGTGTTTATTAGCGTTGCGCGGTGAAGAAATACGGTGAAATGTTAAACATTGCTGATGTGAAATGCTAACGTATAGGCTAAATTATAAATAAAACTATTGTATTGCTATGGGTAATTCATAACATAGCATTTTATGCAGGTCCACAACTGAATAATATTTGCACACTTCGTGCATAATGTGACAAAGTTACAGCTTGAAATGATAAACAAGGCAATCTGCTGAGACCTTCCAGTTTTGTCATTTAACTTTCATAAACATGACTGCAAATCATAAGCCAGTTGTGTAAATCCTTTCATTTGTACACAGAGGAAGTTTCCAACATGAACTTTTCTTGCAGTGATTATGATGTCACAGTGGAAATTTTGATGCTACTAGTGATGCAAAGAGATCTTTGCAGTCCTCGTCTCATGGGCTGACGACGACAACTATGCCGTAGAACAAGTGGGACGAAGTATTGACTATAGGGTCTGGAGGAGAAGCCAGAGAGAGAGAGAGAAGAGGAGCAGAAGAGCTTGAGAAGGCTGATCCACCATCATGCCACGTGCACTGCTAAAGAACGAGAACTTTGGTACCAACTATTGAAAAAAAAATGGTTGAAACTTTTCTCTTAAGCAGATTCCAGGATTCCGGGCCTGACAAAACATTTGCTCAGTCTACTGCTGTTATCTGGGATGAGGATGTTGACTGGAGTATATGGGTTGATGGCTGGAAGGAGACCATCAACTGTGAAAGCTGAAGAGCCAGTCAGATGTGTCTTAACACTGGGATGAGTCGAATGACATACATGCTGTTCGCTCAAAGGAAAGTCAAAGGACAGAAAGAAGGAAGTGGAGTAACACTGCAGGCTCATAAGGCATCCGACCCCTTGTCCTTTGGTGAACAGCAGGCAAAGAAGGATCCAGAATATTTCCTTTGTCACCTTTGTCGCTACCTTTGTCTTAACATTTTAAAGTGACATTAAGGTAGGCAATGCTAGTCAACACAGATAAGTTGCAGGTACTGTAAGTTGCAATATTCTTGTATGTATGTTTTGTCATATCACAGTTTTATCAGTTCAGTTCAATTTTATTTATATAGCACATTTAAAAACAACCATGGTTGACCAAAGTGCTTAACAATGTACGGAAAAACGCACACACAAACAAGACAAATACAGTAAAAACATCACAATGTCTCAGCTCAGCTCAAAATAAAAGCCAAGGAATACAGGTGTGTCTTAAAGGCACAATATGTAATTTTCACTGCTAGAGGGTGCGTATTCAAAATAAATAAAGAGGCAAAGGCGTAGTTTGATGATGTGGAATCATGGGAGTTGTCATCTTCATCCACACAGCCGATGCAATCCGACGGGACTCGGACAGAAATCATGTTCATGGATGAGCTAATGTTTTATTAACGTAGTAGAATGAAGCAGGGTGAGGCTGAAAGCCGTGGAAGCGAAACGAGGCCGCTGAATGAGCACAACACACGGTTCGAAAGCAGCAGAGCTTTTATTATGCCACAGTCGACCACTTCCGCTCCTTCTGGTTGTGCTTATGTGGGGGAAAAAAGCAGCGTTGTTTTATCATACTAGATATATTTGAAAGTTATGTTATAATGCTACTCTGTGCGGTCGTCACCGGTCTAATAAAACGCACAACATATTAAAGCGTCTTTGGTGTTTCCATGTTTTCTACAAAACAAAACCGGAAATCGAGGGGTTATGACGTCATTGGCAGGCGACACAATGACACTATGGACACAGTCCGTGTCACTAGTTAAAATTGCTTATTTCTCTGGATTTAAACATTCTGCGTAATGTAAGTACACAAGTCAGCAAAATATATAACACTGTTCTAGTGGTTTTTGGATATTTTAATTAAAAAATCGTACATATTGTGCCTTTAAGTAATGACTTAAAAATTCCAACAGTCTGAGCAGTTCTTATGTGTACAGGTAAACTATTCCACAAATTAGAATATCACTCTGACACAACACTTTCAACACTTCTTTCATCAAAATAATCCTGCTGTGACTCAAGGATCTGACCTGGGTTTTGATAGACTTTCTCATAAAAAGTAGTAAAGAAATAAATGTTGAGTAGATCATAAAAAGATTCCGAAACAGTTTAATGTGTCCTTCATATAATACAATTTTAATTTTTGTCAATACAAAAAAAAAACAATTGCACCCCATTGGATTTCATTGTATGGACAAACTCATTATGAAAATTATGAAAATATTATTCTTTTGTGTTCCACATGGGGAAAATCATACAAAAAAATCATACATGACATAACGTGTCAGTAATGTGTGGGTGAGTAAATGATTACAGAAATTACTGACACGTTATGTCATG